CCCCAAAACCCCAAAACCCCAAAACCCCAAAACCCCATGATGATTAGAAAAATTGTTAAATCGAAAATCTAAATAAACTTGAATAAAATCACTTTGATATAGTATTTTATCAGAGGACAACCTTTGTCAAACTTCTTGGTTAATCTGGGTTTCTGCCTTAGTCAAGAGCAGTTTAAAATGCTAAAAGCTAAATTGGAATAATGCACAAAAGCGCTGAAAGATATCCAGAATGAGGTACCCAGTATTGGATCTCAGAGAGATTTTGAAGGGCCTCCCTTTCTTCTTGAATTGAAATGTCACTAAGTATAATGATTCTTGCTTTGATGCTTTAATTTATACTTTTTAAGTATTTCAATGAAAGCTCCTTGAATTCATCATCTAAAATCACATAGAATACGCAAGTACCCTAGTGATTTTTAGCATAATTGTAGAAACCTTTGTGACAATTATTTAAACTGTAAGCTTGGCAATGCTTGTAAGTCAATTCTTTCATTTTTAAGGATCCTTCTTTGGCTACACACTCTGCATATCCCTCTCCAAGGAGGAAAATATGATTTTCATTTTTAATCATTTTTGCAACAGTTTAAGAAAATTAGTTGCAATCATTAACAACTTCTTTAACTTTCTCTGAGAGAGTTTAAAGTTCACCATAAATATTTTGCCTTAGATCTTTAGTTTATTTGTAATTGACCTTCTGAGAAAACCACATTGTAATAAGACTAAATGCAACAACTTAGCAAATAAAAGCCTTGGTAGAGGCCACACTTTACTCCTTCCCAGCATTGAGAAACAAACCACATTTAGCTTCTCTAGCAAGAGTAGATTCTACATTATTAACAATGTTGAACCTAAACAACCCTAATTTGCCAGCCATTTAAAAAGGTTAAAGCAAATCAGTGGTCTCCCCAGACTAAGAGACAGATAGAAGGCCACCCTGTTCTATTCTTAAATCATTAATATCTATTTCTGAAGCAATTTTCACCTCAATAGTGTCAAAACACTAGAATTCTCTCATCAATCTCTAGCCATATAGTGATGCATAGTAACTTGTTCCACAGGCTGCTATTACCAAATTTTTTATCTCTAATAATTTCTCTTCATTACTTTCCAGTCCTCCAAGTCTAGCCATTCCGTATTCATTAGGGTCTAATCTATTTCCATAATTCAAGCATTTTTATACGGCTTCAGGCTGTTCAAGCATCTCTTGGACAAAATAGTGTTCGATGCCTGGTTTGAGGTGGATTGTAGGTCCATTAATGCTTTTTGGAAATTAAAAATAGCTGACATTAATGCCCTATTCATCTCTTTTTATTTGCACTATTTGTTTATCAGGGAGAATCCTAATGTCACAGTCCTTAAATTCTTCGTTGAGAATATTCAAATCTGAGGATATAATGCACTGCTAGTTATCTTTACTTATAGCTATCCCCATCTAACCTGTATTTTTGAAGGCATAAATAGAGTTTGGATCTTCCTTGCAAATCATTGCCATGTTGTATGATCCAATGATCAAAGAACAAGCCCCATAGACGCTCTAAACAAGGCTTTCTCCTGAATCAAACTTCTATCCAATTATTTAGGCTATTACCTCTGTATCAGTTTCACTTTATAGCTTGCAAGTAGAGTCAATGATATTTTACTCAATAAGTTACTGATAATTTTCAATGAATCCATTGTGTACAAGTGCTATTTTTTTACTTTGATCTAGGTGAGGGTGCGCATTTTCGTGAGTTTTTTATCCATGAGTTGCCCATCTAGTGTGAGCTAAACCGATATTTCCAATGTGCTAACCTCTACACTATTTAATTAATAGATCTATAGGCATCGCGCCAAACCTTTTTTCTTCTGATTACTTGTGAATTATCATTTCATTGAGACACGGGTCGATTGTAACAATGCCGCAGGAATCATACCCTGGAACCGATAAACTCTAAAGACCATTGAAGCAAACTTCTTCAGCTTTTGGATCATTCCCCAAATAGCCAATTATCCCTTGGCATTCATTTGATTGCTATATTTGCTTTTGAATCATATTACTTGCAAGAGCAGTTCCAAAAAGTTTGAGCGAGAATTAAAACAATGTATGCCTTGGCTTATAGACTAGATTTTTGAGTATCATTTAAAGATTTTAATAAGATTTAGTTCGCATCATTGATTGTTTACAATAACATAGATCTGGCGGGGTTTTGGGGTTTTGGGGAGATCGGAAGAGCGGCGTGTAGG